CTCAGCTCTGCTACAGTGCTCCCAAAAGCTAACGCAGGTGGTAAGTGGCCTGTTTATCCTCAATGGCATATATATGTGTCTCCATGGATCTCCTTGTTGCTCCATGTGAGAGGGAAGAAACTCTGAAAGGAGACCCGCCTTTCCCTTCTCCAAGGGGAAGAAAACAAAAACCAGATCACCCAGGATTTAAAACATGCCAAAAGTTGTCCTGATTCAGAGCAACTACAAATTCTCCAGTTGCTGCTCTGAAGAAGCACAAAACGGAAGTCAGTTACCACAAAGCATGCTCCAAGCACCTAGACATCTACTTCCACTACAGAAAGACCCACCACCCCAACGGAGCAGAAAAGCAGAGTCCAGAGGTGAATGCCTGACAGGAACTGAGGCACAGACAGGGGCAAAGAATTGCAAAGGCAGGATGGGCACAGATGCTTTCACTCTCAACAGAGCAGTTTAACAGAACAGGCAGCAAAAGACCATAGCAGCCCCAGAGGTTCAGGAGAAGTGATGAAGCCACTTGGAGCCCACAGGTGCCTAAAGGAGGCACTCTGTTTCATACCACTCAGATCCTGCAGAATCATAGTCTCCTCTTCCTCTGCTGCAGCTATCCAACAGGTCACTTCATCAATAGCCTTCTTCAGCACATCCCTGTCCAGAGCACTAAAGCGGGATCAGGGGCAAAGAGGCAGAGTGTGAGAAAAAGCTCTTTACAGATGGAGCCTTGTGCCTTGCTGTGGGAATGCAAAAGCATCACTTCCCAACATTCACCCCACTCTCCAGATTGTATCCTGTGATCTCAGTCTTCCTTCAGACAGACCACAGCATGCTGGAACAGCTGGCAGCAAGGCATTCAGACCAATAGGCTTTAATATTTCTACAAAATGTGACCCGAGCGAAGGTGAGCCGTCAATATAGTTAGTACTGAGCAGCCACCTCTCTGAACAGTGCTCACCTGCTGACCTTCCAGCTACCCCCCAAGAGTTGCTGGCTAAGGATCTTCTCCTGTGCCTCATTCATGTACGGGATTCCATCTTTGAGGAACTGAGGGAGAAAAAAAAATGCCAGGTTGGTTACTCTCCCCTGGACTTTCTTGCAGCAAATTAGAGAGTAGCAGGTTAGCCAGGTCCAAAACCGGCATATACTTGGAAGATGCTAGTGTTCCTCATTCTCAGAATATCCTCTTCAAACACAAACTGTAGGTAATCCAAGATGCATTCTTACATAAAGGAAGACGTATTCGTGTATGGAGGAAAGACAAGGATTTCTGTCAACTGTAATCAATTCCTTTTGCTCTGCTTTTACCTTTTCTTTAATGAGACACTTCCAGTATCAAGATATCATGATGCTTCCTGTCCAAAACTGCAAAAAAGTGCCCTTATGTGATGACATAGTCTGAATTTCATAGGAAATGTGGCAATACGCAACACGCAGGTAAACTGAGACTTCCCCACCTTCATGGCTAGTAAAGACTCCCACTGGGGTCTGTTTAGTAACTCCTCAGCTCACCAGAGATAGGTTTTCTTTTTTTGAGGTGGGGAAATCGGTCTTAGGCTGACAAAGATACAGTTATTGCCTCTATGGCAGTTGAGAAAAACCAGCACTCACTCTCCCTGTTGATAATGAATCACGAGGCATTCATACTTTAGCAAGATGCTATTTACCCCAGAAATGTAGCATTTAGGGATATTAATCCTAATTTATCCTGTAATTGCACAGAATTCCTCTGTTCTAGATTTCTGGCAGAGAGATTACATACCTTATTATAGTCAAAGCCATAATGAGACAGGAACTGAATGCTAGATGCAGAGAGGGTGAATTCGACATCCGTAACCCCCAATGTTGAGGGAAAGAGAAAAAAGTTGTATGAATGCACCACATACCTACAATGGAAAGAAAAATCTCTCTAGAAGATAGTTACAATAAATGACCTAACTCCTCCCAAGAGAATTCTGCATAAAATCTCAGCTGCGCTGTCTTCATTATAACAGCAAACTGCTTTTTACTTACTTGTTTGAATTTTCATTTGAGAATATTGCCAGCCCTGCAAGAGAGAGAAACCTGCACTGAAATGGCAATGTTTAGTTGGATTTCTACAGACGCTGTTAAAATTAGATAAGGGATGTGGGGATCCCCTGATGGAGTGCATGTTTTCCATTCACCAATGCCACAGCGCAAATCTTAACAGCAACTGCCAGGCCACGCCCCAGCTCCCTGAGAGCTGAACAGGGAGAAGCTTTTAGTACTAAGTGGGAAAAGCAGTCAAGTCTGGTTAAACAGCAAACAGATTGAGCAATGGGTGAGAAGAGGTGAGTTGGTGACAAAAATCTCCAACTATGCATACAAGGGTCTGTGGGTCCAACTACACTACAAAAGTATTTGGAAAGAGCTAGGCACCACAGAGGACTGAAACATGTTTTTTGCTACTTAGGTTCTTTTTTTTTTCTATTAACCCCTAAAAAGCATGTAAGATCTTACATAGCCTCATACATAAGGCTTTGAACAATATTTTAAAGTTTGGGAACTGGTTTCTTGACCTCTAACTGGTCCTTAACTGTCAATAGCCCTCTACCACCACAGGCCCTTTCTTGTGTTGATTTTTTTTATTATTTTAGGAATATCAGGAATACTAGCCTTCATTTTCCTCTGATAGTCCCCTCACTCATGCACTATATCAAATGACACAGCGTTGAATAGCAGCTGCTGTCACCTACTTCTTGCTTGCATCCTCTGTTTTAAAAGCCCTATATTTGTATGTGCAATCTTTAGCTACGAACAACTTTAGACCAGTAGAAAGTATACAGCCCACCTGACTTTATATTATTTAAAATATTAAAAAGTTGATAGTATTAAACATCGGGGGGGAACCTACCACAGCAAACAAATGGCTCTGTTACGAGTGAATTAAGACCAGAGCTACCTGCAGGGCCTGCCAGCTGGCAAAAGGCTAATTACCACCAAGACCTCAGGAGATTATCTTGTGTGTCAGAACAGCACTTACCAAGCTGAGTAACAGTGAAGCGCTGAACACTCTGCCTGGCCTTCAGGTACCGCTCCTCAGGGGAATCAAACAGGCTATGAACAAAATCAGAATTGGGGAAAGGGGAGTGGAAACAGGAAGGTTGGCAGCGCACAGGTTATTCTCACAGAGCTAGAGCAGCAAGTCTCCCTCACATTTCAAGTCCAACAGCTTTACCTGGGTTCATTATTTTGTGGGAAAGTTGAATGTAAGCCAGTAAACTCCGTATCAAGGGCTGTTGACGTGGAAAGAACACAAAAAAATCTGAAATATGAAGCATGCATTTCACCACCATCAGGACAGGGATCTCTGAAACACCTCTCTTCACCATAACCTCTGTGTCAAACCCGCAACCGAAAAGGCAACCGACTGCTGTGGGAGCGAAGCCTCCTGCTCCCTCATCCCTGTGGCAGGATGAGGAACGGAAACACACACCCCGGGAGGGGCCTGCCTCACTCTTCGGAGTATGTCTGTCCCCCGCCCCGTAACTAACGTCCTGAGCCCCCAACCCACCGAGCCGAGGCCAGCACCGCAGAGAGGGCTCACTTTCCAACCTCTGCTGCCTGTTTTAAAACCCACTGTCTCAGCGTTCGCTGTTCTCGTACACACCAGCGCCATTATCTGTTAAAACACACCCCAACG